TTATTAGTATTGTTGTTTTATTATTATTGTTTTTATTATTACTATTATTATTAAAATGATTATTATTATATACGTTATTACTATATCAATTTTATATACTCTACAATATATATATAAAATACATCAGTATCTTATACAGTATATATTATAATATATAATGATCTATCAGTATCATCATATACATTATTACCACATTAATATAATATTTTATTCATATTTCCTACAACGTATCATATATCAGCTCAGCAACCGCTGCACATTTCTGTTTCTTTGAATTAATGTTCAGTACAGTAAATGGTTTTGTTCTCTAACACAGAGCGTCCGCAGAGACGCAGGAAGCTCATGCTAGAGGCTGTTATAGAATTGCGCGTCTGCGCCAAGCCTTAATGACATTACCAGCGGGCAGCGATGATGAGCTGAGCAGGAATTACACTCTGCAGTCCGAGTTGCTTTTATAAGCAGCTGTGGATTATGTTGGTTATTATTGTGGATCATGGTCCAAAATCCCGTCACTGCTCCAATCTGGGCCAAATCTGTCTCGTTTTCTGTTCATAAGCACTGGGACCATTTGAGGATTGATGGACCATGTAATGATACTTACAGGTGCTGGACATGCTCCGGAAGATTCATCTTCTTATATTTTGCCTTCCCCGGTTCCTCCTCTTACCCCTCATCAATATACTAATGACTTGTTGAAATAAAACCTTTCTGATTTCATTACATGCCTTATTTTAGGTGCCTTTTGTTGGCACTTTAAGAAGCCAGTGGATCCCACTCACTCCCTTGAATGTTTGGTGGCCTTCTACCCACATGGCCTTCTCTCTTGGCGGTATTCAAGCTCACATCATGGACTCTGCTGTCTCTAAAATAGGACACTGAGCCAAAGGCAAATACCAAAATGTCTAAGACATCATTGGGTACTGTAACAAGGACACTCCACTGTAGTCCAGGTAAGTCAAGGAAACCACAGTTTATTGAAAGGGCAAACACAAAATTGCTTGAAACAGCAACATAAGAAGTGAATATCCTCTTTAGTGCCTGTTAATGGTGAATAATGCTTTGATATGTACATATCCACCTTCCCTTATATCCCTTCCTGCAGCTCCATTAGGCCACAGGAGCAAATACTCTGTAAAAAAAAATACTCCTGTCCTGGTACATGATGGCACTGGTGCTTGGTGATTGGCATCCAACACTTTCATATGGGGTGGGGAGAGAGTTTTTGGCCCTGTGTTAGCTCCAAGTGACAACTCGGAGCATACAGAGGGCTCAATCTCTTCACTCCCCGCAGCTGCAGGAACAAAGGATAGGCAAGTATGTGTATCTGGTGGTGCCGGTATTAAAGGGCAAAGCATAGGTTCTCTTCAAGCAGATGTTTTTGGCTAGTTTTTTCACTTTTGGTAGCCTGGTCTGCCGATCCTGCATGCTGTTTGATCCCTGACTGTTCTCCAGTTCTCATTCTCGTTCTCTTCGTTCCTTTATGGACCTTCCTGGACCTCCTGCCAGTCCAGAACATCCCCCACTTTGACCTCTGGACTTATGGACTCTCAAGGAGACTCTCACAGGAGTTATTTTCTCAGCTTGCACATTTTGGACAAATCAAAGTCTGGATATGTCAAGCAGTGCCCCAAATGTCCTTCTGGGGTTCTCTGGAAAAGACCGGGCACTCCATAGACTCTGCACCTTAGAGGCTCTTACTGTTGGTGGCCCATGGACCCACATCAGTACTTGACCAGCACTTTTTAGATATCACTCATGAATTGGTGACAGCAAAGCCTTATCTTCTCATGAATCATGGTCTACTGTGGAAGTTTGGCGAAGAGGAACCAAAGAAGATTAAGAGTTGGTGGCTCAGATCCCAGTCTGACACGGGCCAAACCCTGGGAAGCTGGAGGATGAAAACGACTTGTAATGTAATGAAGTGTGTGAAAAGCAGCTGCTAACAGGAAATTAATTGTCCTTCCTTAGACAGCTTCCTACACTAAGAGTTCTCCAAGTTACACAGAATTGTTGGATGTGACCCATTGTTGATATGCGGTCAGTGGGCCATCTGGAACAGCTATTTGTGCCGAGCCAGTTGTCACAGTGTTTGGGCTATGGGTCATACACCAATTCTTGTCATTTTTTAGAGGATCAAACATGAATTAGTGAAAACAAAGCCTTAAGTTCTTGTGAATCCCACTCTGCTGTGGATGTATGTCTAAGAGAAATCAGACAGGATTAAGAATTGACAGCCCAGATCCCAGTGTGACACGGGCCAAACCCTGGGAAGCTGAAGGATTAGAACAACTTGGTGGAGTGTAATGAAGTGTCCTCCCTTGGACAGCTTCCTACACAAGGACTTCTCCAGATTTCATGGATTTGGTGGATGTGACCCGTTGATGATATTTGGTCAGTAGGCAGTCTGGAACATCTGTTCTTGCAGAGCCATTCATTAGCGTGCTTGGCCGATGAGTCCACACCAACCCTTGACAGACACTCTGTAGAGGATCACACATGAATTAGTGACAGCAAAGCATTATCTTCTCACAAATCGCACTCAGCTGCTGGTTTTGTCTAAGAAAAGACATGGGAGATTAAGAGCTGAGGGTCCAGATCCCAATCTAGCCCAGGCCAAATCATGGCAAGCTGGAGGTTGAGAACAACTTAGAGTAGTGTAATGAAGTGTGTGAAAAACAGCTGCTATCAGGAACAGAATTGTCCTTCCTTGGGCAGGTTCCTATATAAGGACTTCTCCAAGTTATATGGAATTGTTGGATTTGACCCATTGATGTGCAGGCAGTGGTCCATCTGGAACAGGTTTGTATGCAGAGCCAGTCATCAGCGTGTTTGGCCCATGGGTCCACACCAATCCTTGACAGACCCTTTTTAGAGTATCACATATGAATTAGTGACAGAAAAGCTTTATCTTCTCATGAATCCCGCTCTGCTGTGGGTTTTTGTCTAAGAAAAACCAGAGAAGATGAAGAGTTGACGGCCTAGATCCCAATATAGCTCAGGCCAAACCATGGCAAGCTGGAGGTTTGAGTAACAACTTAGAAAAGTGTAATGAAGTGTGTGAAAAGCAGCTGCTATCAGGAACAGAATTGTCCTTCCTTGGGCAGCTTCCCACACAAGTACTTCTTCAAGTTGCATGAAATTGTTGGATTTGACCTGTTGATGATGTGCAGGCAGTGGTCCATCTGGAACAGCTTTGTATGCAGAGCCAGTCATCAGCGTGTTTGGCCCATGGGTCCACACCAATCCTTGACAGACCCTTTTTAGAGGATTACATATGAATTAGTGACAGCAAAGCCTTATCTTCTCATGAATCCCTCTCTGCTGTCGATGTTTGTCTAAGAGGAACCAGAAAGGATTAAAAGTTGAAGACCCAGATCCCAGTCTGACACGGGCCAAACCCCCGGGAAGCTGGAAGATGAGAACAACTTGGAGGAGTGTAACTAAATGAGTGAAAAGCAGCTGCTAACAGGAAATTAATTGTCTTCCTTGGACAGCTTCCTACACAAAACTTTTCCAAGTTACAAGGAATTGTTGGATGCGACCCGTTGATGATCTGCGGTCAGTGGGCCGCCCGGAACAGCTGTTTGCGCGGAGCCAATCATCAGAGCGCTTGGCCCATCATATTTTTTATTCTTTTCTCTTCATGAATCTGCAGCCAGCAAGACCCGAACTGCACTGTAATCTCAGAGCAGATCTTGTTTCCATCGTACCAACATCTGCTTCCAATAATGATTAGATATTTTTCTTGTAATAATATGTATAACAGAGCAGCTGATAGGAGATGAATAATGAGCAGGATCCTCAACGCACCACCAAGTCATGGAAGAGGTATGTGGCTTGCACATGTTTCTGGTGAGGCCTGCGGAATGATGTCCAAAGACTGAAGATTAGTCCTCTTTATGTGGCTACGGAATGCAATGGCCGGGCTTATCTAACAGAAGACCAAGGAAGGGTAAAATCTGCTTACTCCCTGCTGTTTCCAAAGGACACATGCATGCCAAAACCAACATTATGTAATGTTCATGTTACCAACTCCCGCCCACAATTGATATTCCAGATCTGCGTGCTTTCCAGCAAGTTTAATCATATGCTGGTTTCCTGTACCTCTGTGGGATTCCACTGGTGAGATATCCGCACCAGCATTCCCAGTTCCACCCAGCAGATGAGACCATTGCAAAGCCAAGAGATGGTGTCACCCTTCTCCAATAGGAACGTACTGCACAAACTAAATGTAGCTGTGTGATAGTGCTTACTTCATTCATTGTGGGAGGGGCAGAGACACAAACTGAAAGGGAAATATTAGCGGTGGGTCTTCAGGAAAAGCCGACAGGTAATTCAACCCAACCATGCTCACCCAAGAATGATGTGTCAATCATTGGTGGAGATGCCCCTTAAGTAACCTTAGCTGCAAGAAACTGCAAGGGACCAGGGACCAGCTTAGCATTGTTATCTGCAGTTTGGGACCTACTCACTCCATCCCATGGCATCAAGTCTTGATGGGTGGGTGTCTGTTTGGAGGAGTGGGTGTTTTTAGGCAGGTTGTCTTCCCCCCCCCACAAAAGGCCCAGGGGCAGAATCCGGCCCACCAGGCCATTTCCTAGACTTCTACTTTCAGATTTGGGTATTAAGTTATTACTAAAACCAGTGATAATCGAATGCAGAGGCAATTATGATAAAGATTAGATATATAGTCTTACAGATAGGTGGGTGTCAGACTGGAGAAGTGGATGCATTCAAAGGCAGGCTGCATTTGCTTGTAGA